TATTGCTTTCATAACTTCATTCTCTCTGGTTCTGAACTTAAACAAATCATCTCTATTTGAGGAAAGCCATTTCCAAATATTTCAATTAATGTTGAAAGTCAGGAAAGTCATAAAACTGTGTGAAAATAAAAAACACAGTGAAATGTCAAGAAATCTAATTCATACCATATACCAAGGGTTTAAAATGTAATCTGAGTAGATTTCTACTTGTTATTTTTTAGTTTCCAAGAAAATTTCATTCAAAAGTATATTTACTTTAAAGTATGATAGGTGTGAGTTTATATTATTTCTTACTACCTGTCAGAGGTTGGTTATCCATGCATCTGTCTAGTTTTGCTGCCACATACTACATAATTACACAAATAATAAAATACTACCTTATCTCTTCACAAATGCAACCAAATAACATAAGGATAAATTTACAGCAGAAAATCTATACCTATAAGCTATGAAAATATATCTATTAACTGTATTACTTATTTCTCATGGCTATTTTATGAAATAAATGGTATTTTAATGATAACTGACTAAAGATCTAAATAATATCACACTGCCAAAAGGCTGCTAGATCAATTAAGTACAAAGATATGAAACAACCTTGGGCATTAAGCACACACAGACACCCACAGGCACATAAATCCCATTAAACCACAAGATTAAAACAACAGCAACAAACTATCCCACTAAATCCTTGGAGGCAATTTAATGGAAACTATTATAAATCTGTGTAATATTACACACCCAAATTCAAACAAACAAACCAAAGAAGGAAATAGAAATTGCAATGAAACAATTTACCTCATTGAAAGAGAATAAAGCTCCTAGATACCTAAGAGCATTAGGAAAATGTATCTGTTAATTCAAAGCCCAGAAATTCTGCCAACCTTGATCTGCTTATCATGAGCCCTGAGCTGGCTTTGATTTCATGAGCAATATGTGTGTCTGTTTATAGATTAAATTTGAGTATAAACTCATTTATCTATAGACTGGTAAACTCCAATTCTCTGTTCCATCTTAAGCCATTAACTACGAGACTTCAAAACAACCAATAAGAATAGTGAAAGAGTCCTTGAAACCAGGTATTTCACCTGCTGTACTTCACCTTTAGGATTTTTGTACTTTTCGCTTTTTAATTGATCATCTAAACTCACTATGCCTCTAAGTTCATGGAGGAAATTCTAAGTACAGAATCCTTCGTGAATTTCAGGCAATCAGAGTAGCCAAAATCCACCCATGAATCAGTAGAATTGGGTAGAAGTAGAAGTAGAATTGCATACCCACTTCTGCCCCTTTATAATCCTACTACTGGATTCATAGACATCTACAGCTCAGACTGACCAACATCTTTGAGCTAGAGAGTTATCACAAATGTTTACCCTTTGTGTAAATAAACTTGACCTATATACCTTTTCTTTTATAGAGAAAGCATCTTTTGATAAACAGGTTAAGTGCTTCCCCATGTTATCTTTCACAAATAATAGTCGTCAGATGACATCTAAAAATGTAGTTTACCAGGAAGGGCCCCTTTCCACCTGAGAAAAGGCCAGTCTGTGAAGTATAATTAAAAATGAGCACTTCAAAGGACACAAGTATGCTTTTCAGTAAATATATTCTTCTCAATCACACAAGAATATACATTAGAAAAAAATAATTTTGACTTTAAAAGTAACATAAAACAATGAAAAAATTATTCATCTATTGTCAAGTGTGGCTTTCTCTTATTTAATTTGATTGTAAAATCCTAAAGTTTTATTAAAGCACACATGACAAATGGCATAATATTAATCTTTTAAAAGTTTCTCACATTCTTTAATCCTAAACAAAAATAACTTAGTGTTTCAAAGCTTCCATAGTTGTACAAAGACTGTAAAATTTTATTTCACACAATATGATTTGTATCATATGGTTTAATAAAGCCCCCAAAGTAGTCTTGCAATTGACTTTTTAACAAAAGCAAACAAACCCAAATTTAATCAATTAAACTAACTCCATAAATTTTAGACATGGAATATCTCAGGGTTAAAACATTTAATACCATCAGATGTTGATAAATTATATTTCAAGCAATAGTTGCAATTAGTGATAAAAGATCATTTAGATTTTGATCTTTTTTCTTAAAAACATACTTCTATTTCACCTACACACAAAAGAGTAAGTCCTTAATGGCTTTCTAACTTTTATGTCATAAAAATGCATTATCTCCCTAGACTACTGTCAAATCATGAGTCTTCCCTCTTCTCTTAACTCTGTTTAACACTCTTACTCTGGTGATAACATCACAGGATCAGAGCTGATGCCCAAAGCTCTATCGACCAGAATAGTTGGAGGGATTTGGTGGTTTTTCACCTTAATCATCATTTCATCCTACACTGCCAATCTGGCTGCCTTCCTGACAGTAGAGAGAATGGAATCTCCCATAGATTCAGCAGATGATCTGGCAAAGCAAACCAAGATAGAATATGGGGCAGTCAGAGATGGATCGACAATGACCTTCTTCAAGGTAAGAAACTGACAATTCTCAAAGGTTATCTCATATTGAGGAGAAGGGAATGTGGAATAAAAGTCTCTCAAAAAAAAAAAAAGAAAGAAAAGAAAAAAGCAAAAAAAAAAAAAAAAAAAGAAAAGAAAAGAAAAGAAAGTGGGCGGGTTTTTTTTTTTTTAATAAGACTTATAATGACACACTCCCATTACAAGGAACCCATGTGCCCTCAGCAGTCAGCATAAAGCAATTTCTCTGCTCCCTTTATCCCCAATTTAGTACACTCAGATCTACAGATCAATATCTTCTCCCTTTATACTAGAAAAAAAAATGCTGTTTTCTGAACACAGCCCAACCACCATTAACTAACCACTCATGCATGGAACCCATAAAATAAAGATTTCTTAATCTAAATTCTGATAATCAGAATACAGAATACTTGAATATCATTGTTTTGTTCTTATATTCTGTATTTAATGAGATAGAAGAAGATAACAAATGTGTTGATATGGAAATTTATTTGGAGATTTAGAATGAAAAAGAATTCCCAGGGGACATCAGTCAAATATTGTATTTGCACCAATAAGGACAGTGCCCCTCATTGTGGCCTGAAGCTTTCCAATAGCCTAGAGTGCCTTCCAAAGCACCAAAGAAGAATTAAGTTAGAGTGATACAGTTTTATTGTCAAGTGCATTTCATTGTTCAACTCTTTTTAATTACTTACTTAGAGTAAAGCAACTGATTTCTGCCTTGTTTATAGAATAAGCCTCTATAATTTCTATTATGAAATCCCAGATACAGTAGCTCTCCTGGGTTAGGGTGAGGGGGTGTGAAGAATGGATTTCAATAGATCCAGGGAGTTGTAGAGATAGCAAAATCACCTTAGAGATCATGACGGTCGGCCATTCACTTTACTAATGAAGAAAACAAAATCTCCAGAAGCTAAATTATCTTTCAGAGTCACAGACTTGAAGTTAGACAAGGATAAGTTAGAGCCTTCTTTTGAAACGTAACTGTTCATGTGAAGAAAAAAAAGAAAAACAGCTGTGCAACCAAAATAAACTCTAAAAAAACACTGTGTCATTGTTTCTTACCTAGAGACCAAAAATGAAGTTGTCACCCCAGGATTGAGTAGACAAAGACTGCTGAAGAATATTAATTTAGAACCAAAAAAAAAAAAAAAAAAACCTAAGGGTGAAAAAAAAGGGAACATTTCTTTGTATACCAGTATTGGTTCACCAAAATAGGTACTACTTATGCAGTAAATTTTATGTACCAATTAGCAATAACAATTGATAAATAAAAATTACTTTAAGAGCAAAGTCTACCCAGAGGTTTACCCAAAACAGAGTAACATGAAAAGTTAAGATTTGCTTTTCCTCTATGTTAGAAAAAGGTGATTCTTAAACATTCTTTTCACTTTAAGAAATACATCATTGATTCAGTAAATGTATAAAGTGTGGTGATTATTTCTTCCCTAGACAAGTGTTGTTTTAAGGACAAATGACATTAAATATATGGCTATCCAAGTTTATGAAAGCTTGGATTTTCGTAAAATCAATAGTGTGAAAACACAGAGCTTACCTCAAGCTAGTGATTCATCACGACACTTGTCAGAAACCAGGAAAGTTACCTGCAAGGCATAGAGGACCAAGGGATACTGCCAAAGTAGAACTGGGTATGTCTGAAAAAATATCTGAAATGATTTGCCTCTCTTACCAGTATCAAAAAGTTTTAAAGTTTCGAGAAGTAGATAAGTAGAGGCAGAGAAGAATCTACTGCCTTCTGGATGTATACAACAAATATAGAAGAGTAAGAGGCTACCCTTTGCACAAGCAATGGACCTGACTTTACTACTATGCAACCAGCCTGTGTATTCACAAAGCATCCCTTAGCCTCATTTTGATCTGATTCTGCTTCCCACATGCTTCTTGAATATAAAGGGTGCTGGTCCCCATTTTTCCAGCAGGGCCCATTACAAGTATGTTGGATAGTGCATTTCCCTAAAATAGTCATGTTCTACTCACAACTTCTGCTTCCTAGGCCTTTTCAGAGAGGGCTCCTGCTTGCTCCTTGACCCCGAAAACGAGGCACCATATTAAAGTGGTCTCTCAGGTCACCAGGCAAATGATGAGTCAATAAGCATCCCAGGGAGAAAGGACGTGAGGATAAGGCCAACAACAGCAATGAGAAGAACAGCAGGCACAAGACACTAGCTCATAGCCACACACTCTATAAATTCTCTACATATATTATCTCATTTGTTCCTTATCAAAACTGGTTGAGGCAAGTATTAATATTGTCCCCATTATATGAAGAAAATGAGGCACAGCTCAGTTAAATAACTTACCCCAAATTTGCAAATCTGTGAGTAGAAGACCTGGGGTTCACCCAAATATCAGAGAGTGCTTTGAGGTAAGCTCCTTGAGGAGAATTGCTCTGTTTTGTTTGCCATTACATCTCCAGAACCTAAAGCAATGCCTGCCACATAGTAGACACTCAGAAAATATGTTTTTAAAAGATGAACAAATGCACAGATGAATCCTAAGAAAGATGGAATTCCATCAGAGGAGGGAGGGACAAAGGGAGTGAGGTAAACAGCGTGTCTTTGTCAATTCAGGCTACTTTCGTGAAATACCAAAGACTGGGTAGCTTATAAAAAAACAGAAATGTGTTTCTCACACTCTGTGAGGCTGGTAGCCTTAGATCAGGGTGTCAGCATGGTTGAGTGAGGGCCCTATTTCAGGTCACAGACTTCGTTATATCCTCACATGGAGGAAGGGGCAAGTGATCTCTCTGGAGCCTCTTTAAAAAGGCACTAATCCCATTTGTAATGGCTCCATCCTCATGACTTAAACACCTCCCAAAGTCCTCACTTCCTAATACCAGTATCTTGGGGTTAAAGGTTCCAATATCTGAATGTGAGAGGGACACATCCAGACCACAGCAGGAGGGATAATGGAGACCCACACAGGAAGAGACACTGTTGCCATATTCCTCGATTTACAATTTAGCTTGCAGCCTGGCAACCCTATTATCAAGAAGGAATTTATTTGCAAAAAAGAGAACAAGGACTAAATCCGATTTAGTTTTCCCCTTGAGGGAGGCAAGCTGTCAGAAAGCTTCAGAGGGATACCCACTCAGGGTTTTTAAGCTGGATTATTCCGCAAGGGAAAGAAACATTCCAGGCTTTCAGCTCTCAAGGTATTTCCACCTTGAGTCACTGAGTGACAGTAGTTAATGGTAAAAAAACCTCAGTCCTGAGCCAGGCCTTCATTAATATTTCACCTTTGCTGTGCCATCAGACCTCCCTCCCCTTCTCTCTTAATCAAAGACAATATTGGGCTGTTGAATGAATAAGGAAAACCACCTTTGCCCAGGCTGATCTAGCATCTTCTGATCCATTGTTGGGTAATAAGCCATTTTCTCAGATGGGTCTCATCTTCACTCAATCATAAGGAAACTTCTAATAAGAAGCATTTTCTTATCATGTGCAGTGTAATTTAAAGTTTTTTTGTTCCTAGGAACAGAGAAAAAAAAATACATATATATATATATATATGTATATAATATATATATATATTTCCCTTTGGCAGCATCCAAATATTAGAAATCTGTCTCTTTGCTTTCAAGTTGATTCTAAATTGTTTTAACAGGTATAGAATAGGAAGTTGCAAAAAGGAAAAAACTATAGAAATTACCAAAATCTGTGAAGACACAAAATACCCTAATCCCTCGATGTGGTCTCTGGGCCACAAGCTTTTAAAGAAGCTTCTTTCTGAAATGTGTGGCCAAAAGTGGCTCACTAAAATTTCAATCAAAATCCATTGGCTTTTTTCCCTTTTTCTATTTTTGCAGACAGCACAAGCCCAGATTTCATATTTGGTTTATTTGATTTTCAACACGAAAAAAAACCCAAAATTTAATTTTTAAAAGTAGCTCAGGTGAAATTGCACTACCTACCTGTGAATTCAGATAAGGCTAAGGATATAAACTGACATTTATTAAACAAGTGTTGATCAAAGCATGTGTCTGAGACAGGAGAGGCCAAAGCAGTTTTTCTTCACTGAGTCATTTGTGTTTAGAATAATTACATTGATCATCAGAACTGTATTTACACAAGAGAACTAGAATTAAATCATGAATTCCACATACATTCACTAGGCTTTAGATGGAGAGCTAGAATTTGATATTGTCCATAAAAAAAAAGGAACAACTCTAAGTTCTGTGGCCAAGGACACCCAGTTAATAATGCTTATTAAACTTTACATTTTCTCAAGGTCATCAGCACTTCGAATCTTAAAGTCTTAAGCACTATGAGTGATATAAAGCCCATTTGGTCAAGGGGTGTCATTTACCACTAGGCCAATTATCAAGACAAGGTTAAGGAGAGGCAGAGTATTTTATCAACCATCCAGGAACTGTGGAAGATGTTTGAGGAAATTCTCCAAATATAAGGGGATCTTTTATTTCTCCTTGTCAGGCTATCAATTAATAAATGGACTCTTTTTATAAGTCAGAGTCTTACTATTTCAGAACTTCAAGAGATTTCATTTTAGAGAACTTTTCAACAAACTCCCATTTATTCTCCACTAGGATAATACCAATTAATAATATGATGTTAACTACATTGGTTTCTCAGCTCTCCACTGCAGAATTGCTTGCTTCTTTCTACTGTTTCAAAAGCCTGAACAATAAAGGCTTTCCCTGTCCTTCCAAGCTCCTAAGACTACCACCAGCATCTTAGGAAATAGAAAGATCATTCAGTTCATGACCAAGCTGTGGACACAACTTGGGTGTATCTTCCCCAAGATCGACATGACCAATTTTCACTTTTATACTCAAGAAAGTTGACAGCAAAGGCATCTATCTACAGTTTCCCCTTTCATAATAGAACACTAAGACACTGTTTTTCTCCCTATGAGAATAGAAGGTAAGGAAAGTGCAAAAATTATCTTCTTTCTCCTTGAGGTAATTCTATTAATTACCTTTCAGGATAAATGGAATAGTCCAAACTTTGG